GGAAGAAGAAGAAGAAGAAGAGAATGAATATGGATGGAATGTTGCTGGCATACACCAAGTATTTTTTACCTGCTACACGTTTAGGAGTTCATTCATCCATTATTGATTTTCAAAATTGATAATAATGTAGCGCACCCGCGAAATGAGAAATAAGAGAAGAGAAATCTTTCTCGAATACGTCAATTTTTTTATTCAAATTCAACTCCCTATAACAAAATAAAAAAAGTCCTAAGTAAGACTACTCAAAGTCCTAAATTCTTAGCTTGTCTAGAGGACTTCGAACAATAATAAAAGTATCTTACTGTTATAAAACTAGAGAGAAAGAGAGAGAATAAAGAAAATATTTTTCTTAGGTACAATTTTCATTATAACTGAAGTTTCTATTTATAGAAAACTTCTGATGGCACAACCGTAATAATACAATTACATCGGGGACAAAATAATCATTCACATACATTATTTTATAATAACATTAATGGTGTGGACCATATATATTTATAACACTCTTCCTTGAATGATTATTTTCTAAACATATTTGAATCATTATTTAAACAAAGACCAATCTGCACATCTTTAAGTATATCTTGTGGCCATCAGGTATCGTTGCTTTAGCATATCAGGAAAACCCGGTGGGACAAAACCTGATCATCTTGAAATCATAGCATTTCTTCCTCAGGAAAACCTGGTGGGACAAAACCTGAGCATTGTGGAAGCACAACATTGCTCCCCCTTAAATAGATCATCTTTAAAGGAGTATCCATGTACTGCCTCGTTAAAACCTTGTCAAGAAAACCCAGTGGGAAAAAACTTGATCGAAGGAAAAAGAGTACAACTACTCCAGTCTTTTCTCATCATCATGAGGAATCATATCAATTATCCAGTAGTTCTCAACTCCTCATTATACCATGAATATGTCTCGTTAAAACCTTATTAGGAAAAACCCAGTGGGACAAAACTTAATGAAGGAAAAAGAGTACACTATTCATGTGAATACGCCATCCCTGTTGTCTCATTAAAAACCTTGCTGGGAAAATCCAATGGGACAAAACCTCAGTCAAGAGAAAAAGAGTACAACGCGTATTCCATATATTCACCATAATAACTTTTCCATAATTTTCATGAATATCATATAGATTCATTCATATTTTCAGAAACTGATTCTCATGTTTTGCCATATCATGTTTTGTGCAATTTTCAAACTCATTCTCATCATCAATTGATTTCAATGGTCTTATTGCCAATAGTTTCCAATATTCACATTTCAGCTGATTTCATTCTCGTCAATATCATTTATATAGCGCTATTCATTTGTTTGTGTCGACACATATTCATACCCATTATTCCCCATAATATATTGAGATATCTCATTATCAATTAATTTCATCAATAGTATGTATATGCCTCCTTTTATCACTTATTTGGGGAATTTCAATTTGCACAATATCAACGCTTCCAGCGTATCTTTCCACAATCATATCATTTCATATATTTCACCACCATCAGTATCATTCAGTTTATGATTTGCACACTTTCAGTGTGATGCATATATCATTTCCAAAATTTCAATAATTGATTCTCCCCTTCATCTTAACAGATCCCTGATCTGTATTTTCAGTATTGAGTTTCTTGAGGGGGGTTCATATAATCTCCATTTAGTTCTCGATTTCAACATATAATAGGAGGACTTTGAACTCATATCACTTGTAATGTGCATATTTTCTTTCATGAGTTCACCATATGAGCTGATTATATTACTAGCTTTATCATTTTCATAACATTTTCTTTCATAATCATCTTGTGTCATTCTTTGATCAAACCGTCTCGTAACTTCAGGTTACGTGTCATATACACATTCTTTGATCAAATCATATCGTAACTTCAGGTTAAGAATCACACATGTGGCTATCTAGTGGATCCATAATATCTAGTAGCACACATGGAGGGGTAGTGCGCTCATATATATATCGTACCCCTTTCACACTCAGTTTGATCAAAAATAGATTCACAAATATTTAGCCAGTAATAATTTCACCAATCGAGAACAAAGTATCTCATATCACAAAGAATCAGTTAATCATTCAAACCATCATCATTTATATCAGTAAATATCACAATAATTCATTGTGACACATTTATCACAAACATATCACATCATCATTCGGCGGCAATAAATGCACTTCAAGTGCAGATTATGACCCACAATATTTAATTCAGAATCGTATCACATGCGCATCATTACTTCTGTAGCACACTCTCTGTTTTTAGAGTTGTATAGCATACGCACCATTTCTATAAATTATTAAGCAATCCATTCAATATTTCTGAACAAAGGTCCGAATTTACAAATGGATTTAGCATTCTCAAATATCCGTAAATGTTATCCATTTGTTCCAGTAAATATCATAAAAAGAATTTATCAGTCTCGAATAGAAAGATTGAGGGTGCTAATGATTAATGATATTCCAGGCGATATTCGATGGTTGATTGAAGCAAAAGTTCGATTGTCGGGAGAGTTTTCAAATTCATACAAATATATGCCAGGTATGGGTAAGAGTACTTTTGCAAAGAAACGAAGAGCAAAAAGATTAGGTGGATGCTTCAAATGCGCTCGATGGACTTGTGACACACGATGTAAATCTGTGGGGTTCGTGTCCAAAAATCGAGAAGATAAAATAGCATTTACAAAGGATGGATTGAGTAAGGAGTCTATTGTTCAAACGATTAACCAGATTCTTGAGACACATCCTAGTGGTTATGTGCATCGTGAGCTTCTGTCTTCATGGATTCGTTTCAAAAATGAAGAAGAATGTTACAGTCTTGAAAATATTGTTTCAAAAGATCAATTTTGTAAAACTAGTCTCGTTATTACGAAAAATCATACTAATGAAGTTTAGTAGTTGCACGGTAATTTTCAGAAGATCTTATAGCTGCCGACAGATAAGATTTATTTAAAATCTCACGCGTTATTTGTCGGTTGCAATTGTCAGAAGAAAACAGTAAAATTATTTATCGTTTTGTATAACTTTCCTTTTAAATAGCGAATCGTTCATCATAATATTATGCCTCTCAAAATTAAGTTTATCAATAAATATATGGATGTTTCAGAGTCTTCGCAAGGTAATAAATTTCTTCAACCGATCAAAACCATATGTGTTCTTGGTGGTTCTAGACTGGTAAGTTTTTCTCAAAATGTTGATCTTGTAAGTCAGTTAGTAAGGGATATGATAAATCAAAAAATCAATTTACTGTATGGAGGGACTAGCATCACTTTCTTTGATAATCTTTTATCGGCTGGAAAATGTTTTGAGATAGAAGTGAAAAGTATCATACCTTTTCATAGAGCTTCAACAAGGGTCGTCAAGGATTCCATATGCATGATGCTAACTCATTCTGTTTATGATTGTATGATGGATATGGCGAACAAGAGCGATGCATTTATCATTCTTCCGGACGGTTATGGTATGCTAGTGACAATGTTCATCCTTGCTTCTTGGGCAGAATTGAAACTTCATAACAAGCCCAAAGGTATATTGAATTTTAATAACATCTTTTCTGGTTTGCTTGGATTTTTAGACCAAGGAGTATATCAAACATTTTATATCTCCTCCAACGAGAGAAGTATTCAAATCTACAGATACATCTGCTGAGCTTATTAAAAAGCTTCAAGAATGCATCACATTTTAAGAGTCTGTGGAAACACAAGGGGTTAAGCGAAAAAGAGCTTTTGATCCTTTAGATCTCCCATTATGAACCTAAATAACAATAATGGGTGGCAGAGCTACGGAGTTTTATACTCTCGAGACGCACCCTTCTTTTATGGGTTCTATTATGTAATATTTGCGTATTTCGTATTTATCGAGTATGTACTGCCTCTTCTCCATATTTCCATCATTAGAACTTTCTGTACTTGTTTCTTATTAATAATAATATCAATTTCGCTTTTCCACAAGATAAGTGTGTAGTACTTCATGACTACAATTATTGTCACGTGTGCTTCTTCTGGAGCACATCATTGTAATATCTATATGATCTCGTATCTCAATGTGATTTCATCATCTGATATATTCCCTTAGTCTCATATAATATATTGAGAAATTATTTTGTATGATCAGCCATAACTGGTAACTTTTAGTACCACTTTCTTATTTTGTTCAATCATCCAATGGTATCTTCTGGTACCATTTCATCACTTTGTTTAATCATAACGTGGTAGCTTCCAGTATCAATATACCAGATATCATTTAATCATTTATGTAGTAACTTATGGTACTACTTCATCAATATTCGTTTCTCCATCAATAAATTTGGAGAATTTATCAACTGTTCTTTCAAGATCATGTTAGTCTATAGAATGTCCGTTCACGACAAGGACTTTAATTAACTTTCACATGTCAGATCAAAGTATCATTCATTTCATTCATCGGTTATCACTTATTAGTACTGCCCGTCGCCGGCGGCAGAGCCGCACTGGCCGGCCCATGTATATATATATATAGCCATTCATATTTTATTGCACGTGGCCTTGCCATATGGCCATTCCACATTACAGGTTATTATTAATTAATACACTGGCTTATTTATTTAGCCGTTCAATATTATAAGTTGCTAGTGGTTGCAACACTTGGCCATTTCACATAACTGTCATAATATTTTGATCAACAATTGACCCGTCGGCTACTATTAAATATTGTTTGTCGGCACAGAGCCGCACTGGCTAATCTATATAGCCACACATATTTCTTTTCATATCGCAAGGGTCAATCCATAAATATTCACATGTTCATGTACCAAATATTACAATAGTCAACACATACATATGCACATGCTCATGATCAAATAATTTTCACAATAACAAAATTCAAGCATTTTAAAATCATGTAGTATAATAAACCATATCAATATTGGTCTTAAAATAAAGCTTTCATTATTCTTAAGCATAATGAATTAATAGAAAATAATTTTGATAATGCTCATTTTCTCTGATTGATAAAAATAAATTTTGAGGTTCAATAAAAAGAATGTTACGAATATCATTTTTGTACTATTTCGTTTTTCAATTGTCCCATGCCTAGCTGATATTGATAAGCCTTCATATATTTATGAAATTGACAGTTGTTGGTTTTGTACTTTTGTTCATTTAAATGGTGTCCACT